GCTTGACGACGATAACGCCCGGCCGCGGGGGCGGCGGCGCTCGCTCCACTTTCTTAGTCAGCGCTAATGGAGCATCTCCCGCCTCCTCCCGGAACAAATGATCCCCTTCCAAGTGACGAATAGCCTCTACGATTGTCTCCAAATTCTGACGACTTGTACTAGCTAGGTACAAGCGCGAGGATGCATCATGTGTGGCATCGGGCAACACTTCCACTTCCACTCTCGGTTCTGCTTTAATAGCTGCTTCCAGTAAGGGTGCGACAGGAGCCTCGACAACCGGCGCTTCGATCTCATCACCTTCGAGTTTGCATAAAGAAACATCTGTCTGTTCATAGTGAACTGGGTGTGTTAAGTCCCTCCCCGTCTCTGGGTAAATCTGTGTCTCCAATGAGTGCAACCGCTCCTCAAGCAATCTTCGTAGACGTCTTTCCTGCTCTAATTGAGTTTTCAGTTCAGAACTTTCGATATCCTTCTTTTGAGGACCATTTGATACTGAGATATAAGCAACTGGTTCAGGTGATCTTGACTTGGAGATTGTATCATCAGTAGAGTCAGGAATAATAGATGACACATGAGAAATAATTTCACTTTTTCTTTTCTTCAGTGGTATCTCTCCTCCCTCATGCTGGTTCAGCAATCTCTTTAATTGACAATTTTGTGACAATAATCTCGTTTTTTCTTGCTCCAAGGAGTAGATATACTCGGCCGTTTGCTGCAATATCGCTGCCTGTAACAATATGATATGAATTGGTATGATATATAATAATTCAGTATATACTCACCACCTCAAGTCAAACCAAGCAAGAACTTGTTTAGTATGTATTACATTTAATTTCATATTTATTCAATTATCCAATATATCTACGACCAAAAAGTATTATAAAAGGATTTTAAAAACATCCATTATATATATAAAAAACTGACATAAGACAATTTTTACATAAATAATACACTGCTTAATTTGCCTCATAAAAAATTCACGAATTCTGCAAGAACTGACCTTGCTCAGCTTTTCCCCCTCATGACGTGGTAAAAGTGTTCGTAGAGCCTGGAAGCCAGCGTTGATGCTCTGCATGCGCCTTCTCTCATTGCTGTTGGCAATCTCCCTGCGGATCCTCTTCTCAGCTTCCATTGTCTTACTTCCTGATGTTGAATGCTTCTCACTCCTGGAACACAACACCATTCACATTAAAAATTGTATTGCAAGAATACTGAATTTTATTATTTTTTTATAAGTTTTAAAGTTTTGCTTCACAGTAATACATTTTACATTATATTTAATATACACCTATTGTGTAAATAATTACTTTTCAAAACAGAAAAAATAATACAAACTACTTTTTTTTTACATTTTTATATTACTATGTTTTATAACAGTGTTACATATTTCAGTTTTAATTGTATAATGCACAATTTACACGATATTTTATTGAAAAAATCAATGTTTATTTACCCATCACATTATTATCAGCGGTAGTATACAAACACATGTGTATGAAATAGCGCGTTAGTAAATGAAGCGCCTACTACGCCTATTTGATTTGACCAAACATGGCGGACCAACAGCTGACTATAGACCGGCAAGGGGCGGGAGCGGCCTCAACCCGCGAAATCATGTGTTTGACAGAAACATTGCATCTATTTATACTTTTTTTTGAAAAAAATAAACAATATTTTAACATAAAAATATGCTATTAGCAAGTCTTACTTTGGTCAAAAACTAAAGCCACGCCGGGTGTTCTTACCTGGCAAAAGCGTGATCCGATGCTTCTTCTTCGTATAAGTTGTAGTCTTCTATTTCTAGCAAACAAACGTCATTACCGTGTAATGACATTACTCAGCCGCGATAACACAATTTAGCGATTTTTCATCTAAATATCTGAATTAATGCCGAAAAACCTCAATTTAGTTCCTTCGATAATCACAATGGCGGGAAATGACAATGAGTTCGGTCAGGTGACGCTATGCAAAATTTAGACAGCGCCAGTGAAAACTAAACACACAACACCTTTTAAAACACAATTTAGACAAATGTTAATGATATTAATGCAATTATTTATTAATACATTGAATGAATTCTTTAAAAACACAATTAAATTGGACGAAGTCAAGGGCAACACGAGTACCGCGACATATCGATGCGATCATAGACAATTTAACATTTTCTTAATTCTTCAACTCTATGGTATAGAGTACAAGCGTGTAATTTAAAAAAAAACTTTGTTTCTCAATTTAATGCATGAAAACAATTTACTTTAACCAATAAATGAATTTTAATCCAATTTTAAATCCCCCTTACACTTAAATATATCACAGTTTCAAAATTAGGAATTCAAACTTATCGTAATTTTTCTTGTCTGTGTTATTATTTGTACTTAATTTGTTGGAATGTTTGGAACTGTTGCACAGCGTGACTTTTCAATTTTATATTTAATTTTCCATTTTAATATTACGCTATGATTATTTTTTTAAAAAGATATTTTTAAATTCATCTTTTTGAACGCATCTGTTACAATCGAGAGTCGGAGCAAAAATTTCTTATGTTGGCTAAATTGAAGCGTCTTGATCCCAAGGACCAATCACGAAAAGATTCAATTTTGAATTTGTTCGAGGTGGGTGGGGATTCTGTTCTGCTGCCCGCCATATTGTGTTCGGCTGTGAGTGCTGGGAGTGAAAAAAATATTTTATTTGTAGTGTAAATTCTTTGTCTTCGTTGTACGGATTGAATATTGAAAAGGTAAGACTTAATTAATATAGGTTTTTGTCATAAATATATTTTGTAAGATACATTGTTACTGCTAGGGAACATACGCCGGGTCGTTAAATCGATCTAAAGTCGTTGATACAAAATGTTTCCAACGAAATGTCCGACACATTTGAAAATTGAAGTGGAATTTTTAATTTTAGTTATAAAAATTAAAGTAAAATTCTCACAAAATTAAAGTCACTGAAAATACGAAACAGGTACATTTTGTTTTGTAGGTAGATCGGTATAATGGTAAAATTGTGGTTTTTTAAGTCTACAAAGCTTTGCATATTTCTTTTTTCGGGCCTTTTAATTACTTTTACTTTTGCATAAACATTAAACGTATTCTGGGAAATTGAGTCTCGGTGCATAAGTACATCGGCCGATGAATCATCGCTGCAACTTACCCGGTGAGAGCTGCTAAACAAAGGTCGTTAAGTACATACTAAATAAACTGTTAAATGGTCTTTATATTAAATTCTTAAATTCTGACAAATAATTGATTAATCGTATATTTTTGGTTAAGAATTTCTCTCGTGTCCGTAAATCACAAGCACGTTGTTATTTCCGTTGAAACGTAAAATATTTTGTTGCAATCCTTTATGTTGAACACGCGTTTCTAGAGATATATTTTATGCATGCATTTCTATTTAAATAAAGTAGACACATGAAGTGGAAAAGCGTTCAAAGGAATAAAATTAAGAGATATAATCAATTATTAAAAAATTAAAATGATCGTTTTAACAATTACTAACCAAAAAAGGCTAAGTATCATAAAAATCATTTTTTCATGTCATCCCACCAAAGTGCTTTATAAATTTGTAGACTTTTACACTGTTTTTTAGACAGACCTTGTTAAAAATTTGTCAAAGAGTCTGTTTTGGTTAAATAATTGCATCAATTTGATAATCAGCTTGATTTTTATATATGAAGGTGAAAAAAATCATCTCATCTTAAGTACCATAGATATTGAGAAATGCGGATAATTGAGGGTTTGACACATTAGAGACAAATTCATGTAGTCTTGCATGTTAACTTTCACATCTAATTATTGATTATTGCTTGTATAGAAGTTAGTTATTTCATTACAATATATAAATATAAGATATAAACCATATGTGGGTTTGACTTCATTTTGATGACTAAATTAAAAAGAAACTCTTTTCTCCATTGTTTTAAATTTTATATGTTCTTAATACAACAACAATAATCACTAGGACTAAAAGAAGCTACATGAATTATAAGCTGATTGTATCCATTAATTACTTTATTGTATGATTGAATTACATTACAATGACTTAATTGAGGACTTCCCCTACTGAGTTATAAATGATTTAAATATGGCTTCCTACCAAATGTGAACTAATAAAATCATAGGGGTCCCCCCCCCTTTGCTGCTTAATGTAAAATACAGAATACAATATGTAGCAGCTTATTTCATCTTTTTTGTAACATTGTGTTTTAATTTTTAACTTTTGTGTAACATCCTCATTAGAGGTAGATTGTATTGTAGTAGTATGTTGAATCAATTGATATCGTATCTTCCATCACAGGCACAATTTAGAAGGAACAAGCAGGTTTTTCCATATTTGTAGTATGTTGGTAGCTGCAAGCAATGTGCTTCATGTTATATTTAAATAAACAGTACTCTATCCCTAATTTCGAAGCCCTTGATTGTGCTACAAAACAATATTTAATTTGGTTTCCGAATTTATAACAGCAAGTTGGCAAGACTACTTCTTTTAGCAACTGCCTAAGAACCCCGAGGTTTTTCCGATGCTGCTTTAAAAAAAAAAATGAATATAATTTACAAGACGTAGGTTTCGTTCAGTTAATGTTAATAATAACGAACTCGCAAAAATGTTACGAAATGTTTGGTAGTTTCGAGAACGGTGCCTCGTACTTACACATAGAGATGTAAAACTGTGCAGCCAGCTCATATGTCTGGTGCTAAGTTACTGCGGTCTGTGTCCGCAACTGGATATCGATTTTCCACCTATTGAGTAGACACGCGTCGATTCGCTCCATACCCGTACATCTATATCAATTTATTAAATATACAACATTCGTTTAATTTCACGCCGAGCTGAACTCTATTCGGTGTCGAGAGCAAAGTAAAAAGTGGTGTAATGCGATTCCCGTTACGTACTACGTAGTAGTAGACTGCGTGCGGTAGTACGAGCTAAAGTATTAAAAAGCCTCGCCAATGTGTACTTTCTATACGTACACTCGATACATACAGCTTTCAGAGCGGGCTTGGCTTTGTTAGCTTGCTGCGACGTATTTATCGATCTTTGCAGTTCGCGGTAGAATTTTGTCTCACTCCAGTTAAGGTGTATTTCATTACATTTCAGTGTTAAAAAGTAACTGTTACTTTATATATTTCTTAGTAAAAAGGTTAACCGCATTTTGTAATAACCAGTATTGTTCATGTGAATGATATGAGTTACAAGTCAACAACATTATTTACACTGCAATATTAAAAGGTAATATTTTGGTCAAAACAAACGTTGGAATATTTTACCTTTAATAACTTAAACTGTAAGTAAAGCACTAAAAATACTTTCAATTGATACGAAAGGTAATATAAGAAATCCCTTTTTGCGGTTACGCCTTACCAAACCTATTTTAACCACATTTTATACAAGTTTAACAAAATTATTTTTAAACTTGTTATGCGTTATGAAGTGTATTATTTATTTTATTCTTACACGCAATAAACTACATACTTACGTCTCGTTTCCAAGGCTTATTTATTCTGTTCAAACATTGTCAGTAATTGCGTATCGAGATGCCGGGTCTGGGGAGAGGGCTCATTTCGTTCGACGAATTATCTACCCGGCTGACCTTGAACGATCCAGTCAAGGTTACCGATACAGCACTTAACTTGCTTATAGTGCCTCCTATTGTAAACCCCGATGACAATGAGATCGGGTTGACTGGCTCCACTCTAAAACCATCATGTGGTGGGGGAACGAAAAAGGTCGTTCACCTCGTGGCGTGTATCAATTTGATATAACTATGATGGATAGTTACTACTAACGTTTAAAAAGATCAGTCAAATCATGACCGGATATAATATTGATAGTTAATTTATCATATTATGCGGGTATGGTGTTGTATGTTGTAAAATTGGGAAATAATGTTTGGTTTCTTTCCATCAATTAAAAAAGTACAATGGAAATCAACAACTTGCAGTTTATATATTTAAATTCCTTAAAAAAAATGTTTAACGGTGAAATAAGAGTTAGCACGTTTTATTTGAAAGATATTTTGTGTTGTATCATTGAAGCTATAGAACATCAGCCTGCGAGTTACAGATTAAGGCACTCTTGTATTCATTTAATAAATTAATGTATTCTTATTAATAGGCTAGCATAAGAAATTGACAAGTTATTCTGGTTTTGCTTGTAACCTTTGTATATCTAGCAGAATAACAAAATGATTCATTATTCTCAAACACTATTCTAATCAGCGATGGCTCATTTATTTCCCTCTAAAAACATGCACCATTACTTAATTCAACTTTCTTCTAAATCAAACAATCCTTGGTAATAGTTTCCAGACTCCTGTATACTCTCCTGTATACAAGTAGTACCATTTATTTAATTAAGTGTAAACATTTAAAGTTGTGCGTGTTTATGTATAATTGTTTGTCGCCGATAAAGCTCCAGTACTGCATAACTACGTTAGCTATATTAAATGTGATTAAATCGGGATATAGACTAAGACCAGAAGAGAGGTAGCCTCTCTGGATGAATTATTCTGAAAAAAGTGGTTTTTGTTATCTTAACCAAAAATTATGTACTAGTTGAGAAAGATCTTTTGGTGTAAACAAGTAAATTGACTTTACGAAATTTAATATAGAGGCTGTAAAAGCAGGTCATTATGTAATGAAAACATGCACGGCGGTGTACCTATGACTAATCTTCGATTGAGAGCATATTTTTGTTTTTCGTTGGTCTGTTTTTGTTCGATCATTGTAGAATTAGTTGTAACGTAGGTTTTTAGGATAAAAACACCGTAGCGGTTCCCAATTTTTGGACGTAAAAAAACAGGTTTTCAATAGCTTTCTGAGGCAGACAATAGAGTGATATCCGGCACATTCGGCGTGGGGTGGCGGCACTACGCGTGACTAATGTCCCCGCTATTTATATTTGTACAGCATGCATTCGGATAATGAACGATAAACGTTTCGATGTACAAGGAATTGGTTCGCCGCCGCTGCGAGAGCTCGCGCATCTTATCACTCTCAATTTCGTTACAGCAGTGCGTTGCGGTGGCACGTTTTTGTTAACTCCAAAGTGTTCGTATGTGAAACAGTGTTTTCTAGTGCTATCTTGCTATTGTTGTAAAGGTTGGTGAAACGTTAGTGTTTGTAATATATAAATGTATACAATTATTTGTTCCATGAAGTTATATTAAATTATTGACCATTAACGCCAGTAAGAAGTTTAAGAAGTAATTAAACGCACTCTTACATAGTACTTTGTAATACAAGTGTAAGTCGGTTATATACTCGAAGAGGTTATATTATTTTTTGGAATTGAATGTGTACAAACAATAAATACAGTATTAGTCATAAACGTATGCGCAGTGAAAGCGCACGCATCGCGATGCATCGCTGAAGCTATTTTTGGCGTGTTAACGATTATTTCGGGTTGTACCCGGTGCCGTGACCCACTGTCGTTGCTACGCTCGCTCCACTTATAAACTCGACTCACCTATTTTCGTCCGGTTATAGCGTTAATAGGAATTTCGCCTTGACCTTTGATAAGCTTTTTTATTCCCATCAGTGTGAGACGTGGGAATTATTACAAGTAAATTAACGTCGATCGCCTGGAACTTTTTTTAATGTTAATGCTATCTTAGCCTTCAAAGTCTAAGGATTTTTGGCTTTGCATGTTAAAATCTCGACTCTATCCTATATAATCTGGACTTTTTAATTTGTTGTGTTTTATTACTTCCATGATTTGATCATACATTTTTGTAATATACAAGTCTTCTACTTGTATATTACAAAAATGTATCAAAAACAAATTTTCGTCCGAACATTGAATAAAGCTAGGCAGCCTTTTCACATTTTCCTTACTTATTTTAACCTTTCGACACAGTTGATATTGCAGAGAAAGTACTTGTTCATAAACGAGTCTTGGATGTAAGCTGTCGTGTTGGTTAATTTTAGATGCACTTATATAGAAAGCGACGTTTCTAGACTAAATTGATTCGTCATTCTCATCATCCTTATTAAATGTTAAGTCGACGGGTTTGGTACACGTGCGCGCAATTCGTACCGGAGTGTTAAAAATGTGCCAGTCGACAGAACCGTTACTCTTTATCCATTGTTGCTTTGCAAGATGACTATGATATTGAGTACATCTATTTATAACTTTCTTCGTTTTATTGTTCAATTTGTAAACTTGATTTTTACTTATAGACGGCCTCATCTAGCGGCCAACATTTTCAATCATGTTGTGCTTAATTTTTATTTATCTACGCGCATATATTTTGTAACGGTCTAAAGCTCGTCGAAATATTAATGTATACAAAATAATTGAAAAGACAAGTTAATAATAAAATATTTAACGGTATTGAACGATAAAGAACAAGTACATATCTTCTCAATCTAGAGGAATGAATATTGTGGATTTTCATTTCATAAGGGTTTTAGGTATCTAGCATAGCACAAATAAGAATTTAAAACATAGTTACTGTGTATTCATTAATCGTTAGGCCTTTGATTAAAAAGGATTTCGTAAACTCTATAGAATAAATAATATGAAATAATCGTATAGGTACTGCCGCTAATGGGAACTCTTGAAATTCCGTGAACAATTTAGATTAAAAACACTTGGAGCGATAATACGGGTGGGATTGTGTTATTGTCGCGGTTGTTTAATTGAAACGTTTAAGCGGGCCGTGTCAATTAAGAGGGTGGCTGTAACAACGACCAGCTAATTGCTCTGATCGGCGCACATCTAGCGTGTAATCATTTGTCGTATTCAATTGCAACGAGTAATGTTACGCTCTGTTGCTTCACCACGACGATACGAATACGAAGCAATGATGATAGAATTTGTAAAGTTATATGTAAAAAAATATGTGCGAATCATTAACGCCAAAAGGCTGGGACTAAGCAGCCGCAGATATAGCCTTTAGTAACTGACTAAAATTGTTAGACGTCTTAGTTATCGGATTCATTTGTGTTTTAATCCGAGCCATTTGACGTAGCTATTGTGCATAGCCCTAAACTTAAATTAGAAAGTAACACAAAAACTATAGAACCGTTGTAAGAGACAACACAAAAGAAGCTGT